GGCACCCACTCCTCCCTGCCTGGGCTAACTCCCGGCCGCCAGCCCAGGGTGATGAGGCCGCTGGGCCAATAGCCCAGCACAGCCATCTGCCTCAAGTCCTCCGGGGCACCCACAGCCACCTGATACGGGGCTGAGGGCTCCTGGCACACGGCAGGAGGGGGTTCCAGACGGAGCTGGGCACCCTGGCCTCAGTGCTTGCCTCTGTATGACGGTGACAGTCACCCCTCCCGTGTCCCCTGCAAAGCTGCTGCCAGGCAGCTGCGCACACGCTGGTGAGCACGGGGCTGTGGACGGTGGGAAGGACAGTGAGCCAAGGTGACACACTGGGATGGATGCCACGCTGGTGCAGGACGGCACCAGACAGGGTCTAGAGGCCACAGTGAGGCTTAGCTGAGATGTGACAGAAGAATTTCGCCAGGGGGAGGGGTGGGCGGGGAGAACATTCCAGAAAAAAACCCAGCCAGGTCAGTGGGGAAGCCTCCTGCGTGGGAGGGAAGAGTGGAAGGCCAGCTACAGTCCAGCGTGGACCAGGTCCGGGGCCCAGGGCACAGCCTGCTCCTGCTCCTGCCCCTCTGCCAGGGCTCATCTGCACCACCAGGCAGCGGGCACACTCCTGCCAGTGCGGGCAGCGGGCACACTTCCTGCCAGTGTGAGCAGCGGGCACACTCCTGCCAGTGTGGGCAGCAGGCACACTCCTGCCAGTGCGAGCAGCGGGCACACTCCTGCCAGTGCGGGCACACTCCTGCCAGTGCGGACAGCAGGCACACTCCTGCCAGTGTGGGCAGCAGGCACACTCCTGCCAGTGCGAGCAGCGGGCACACTCCTGCCAGTGCAGGCACACTTCCTGCCAGTGCGGGCAGCGGGCCCGTGAGGGGGGCCTCTCAGGGGCACAGCACTGAAGCAGCTGACCTGGGGGAAGCCAAGCTGGAGTAGGCGGAGGTTCCTGACCAAGGGCAGGTCCGGCCGTGAGGGGGCAGGGGGTCCCAAAGCCTGCCAGTGCGGCAGCGGGCACACTCCTGCCAGTGCGGGCAGCGGGCACACTTCCTGCCAGTGCGGGCAGCGGGCACACTCCTGCAAGTGCGGGCAGTGGGCACACTTCCTGCCAGTGCGGGCAGAGGGCACACTCCTGCCAGTGCGGGCAGCGGGCACACTCGGGGGGCCTCTCAGGGGCACAGCACTGAAGCAGCACACTCCTGCCAGTGCGGGCACACTCCTGCCAGTGCGGACAGCAGGCACACTCCTGCCAGTGTGGGCAGCGGACACACTCCTGCCAGTGCGGGCAGCGGGCACACTTCCTGCCAGTGCGAGCAGCGGGCACACTCCTGCCAGTGCAGGCACACTTCCTGCCAGTGCGGGCAGCGGGCCCGTGAGGGGGGCCTCTCAGGGGCACAGCACTGAAGCAGCTGACCTGGGGGAAGCCAAGCTGGAGTAGGCGGAGGTTCCTGACCAAGGGCAGGTCCGGCCGTGAGGGGGCAGGGGGTCCCAAAGCAGCCGCAGGGCTGCCCCAGACTTGGCCCGGGGCCTCGGACCACCTGTGCACCCCCCATCCATGGCCAGTGGGGTCCGGAGCCCTCTGCCCCTCCCTCAGCACATGGGCATGGCCGCCACCCAGTGCCCCGGGCTCACTCGGCTTCTCAGCGAGAAGCTGGGCCAGGCCCTCGAGGCCGGGTGCCGGCTCCTCTGCCCACTGCACACGGAGAACTCGCTGAGGGCCGGGCTGTGCGCCGCCCCCCAGGACCCGGCCTCACGCGGAGGACCCGGACTCACGCGGAGGACCCGGACTCACGCGGAGGACCCGGACTCACGCGGAGGACCCGGACTCACGCGGAGGACCCGGACTCACGCGGAGGACCCGGACTCACGCGGAGGACCCGGACTCACGCGGAGGACCCGGACTCACGCGGAGGACCCGGACTCACGCGGAGGACCCGGACTCACGCGGAGGACCCGGACTCACGCGGAGGACCCGGACTCACGCGGAGGACCCGGACTCACGCGGAGGACCCGGACTCACGCGGAGGACCCGGACTCACGCGGAGGACCCGGACTCACGCGGAGGACCCGGACTCACGCGGAGGACCCGGACTCACGCGGAGGACCCGGACTCACGCGGAGGACCCGGACTCACGCGGAGGACCCGGACTCACGCGGAGGACCCGGACTCACGCGGAGGACCCGGACTCACGCGGAGGACCCGGACTCACGCGGAGGACCCGGACTCACGCGGAGGACCCGGACTCACGCGGAGGACCCGGACTCACGCGGAGGACCCGGACTCACGCGGAGGACCCGGACTCACGCGGAGGACCCGGACTCACGCGGAGGACCCGGACTCACGCGGAGGACCCGGACTCACGCGGAGGACCCGGACTCACGCGGAGGACCCGGACTCACGCGGAGGACCCGGACTCACGCGGAGGACCCGGACTCACGCGGAGGACCCGGACTCACGCGGAGGACCCGGACTCACGCGGAGGACCCGGACTCACGCGGAGGACCCGGACTCACGCGGAGGACCCGGACTCACGCGGAGGACCCGGACTCACGCGGAGGACCCGGACTCACGCGGAGGACCCGGACTCACGCGGAGGACCCGGACTCACGCGGAGGACCCGGACTCACGCGGAGGACCCGGACTCACGCGGAGGACCCGGACTCACGCGGAGGACCCGGACTCACGCGGAGGACCCGGACTCACGCGGAGGACCCGGACTCACGCGGAGGACCCGGACTCACGCGGAGGACCCGGACTCACGCGGAGGACCCGGACTCACGCGGAGGACCCGGACTCACGCGGAGGACCCGGACTCACGCGGAGGACCCGGACTCACGCGGAGGACCCGGACTCACGCGGAGGACCCGGACTCACGCGGAGGACCCGGACTCACGCGGAGGACCCGGACTCACGCGGAGGACCCGGACTCACGCGGAGGACCCGGACTCACGCGGAGGACCCGGACTCACGCGGAGGACCCGGACTCACGCGGAGGACCCGGACTCACGCGGAGGACCCGGACTCACGCGGAGGACCCGGACTCACGCGGAGGACCCGGACTCACGCGGAGGACCCGGACTCACGCGGAGGACCCGGACTCACGCGGAGGACCCGGACTCACGCGGAGGACCCGGACTCACGCGGAGGACCCGGACTCACGCGGAGGACCCGGACTCACGCGGAGGACCCGGACTCACGCGGAGGACCCGGACTCACGCGGAGGACCCGGACTCACGCGGAGGACCCGGACTCACGCGGAGGACCCGGACTCACGCGGAGGACCCGGACTCACGCGGAGGACCCGGACTCACGCGGAGGACCCGGACTCACGCGGAGGACCCGGACTCACGCGGAGGACCCGGACTCACGCGGAGGACCCGGACTCACGCGGAGGACCCGGACTCACGCGGAGGACCCGGACTCACGCGGAGGACCCGGACTCACGCGGAGGACCCGGACTCACGCGGAGGACCCGGACTCACGCGGAGGACCCGGACTCACGCGGAGGACCCGGACTCACGCGGAGGACCCGGACTCACGCGGAGGACCCGGACTCACGCGGAGGACCCGGACTCACGCGGAGGACCCGGACTCACGCGGAGGACCCGGACTCACGCGGAGGACCCGGACTCACGCGGAGGACCCGGACTCACGCGGAGGACCCGGACTCACGCGGAGGACCCGGACTCACGCGGAGGACCCGGACTCACGCGGAGGACCCGGACTCACGCGGAGGACCCGGACTCACGCGGAGGACCCGGACTCACGCGGAGGACCCGGACTCACGCGGAGGACCCGGACTCACGCGGAGGACCCGGACTCACGCGGAGGACCCGGACTCACGCGGAGGACCCGGACTCACGCGGAGGACCCGGACTCACGCGGAGGACCCGGACTCACGCGGAGGACCCGGACTCACGCGGAGGACCCGGACTCACGCGGAGGACCCGGACTCACGCGGAGGACCCGGACTCACGCGGAGGACCCGGACTCACGCGGAGGACCCGGACTCACGCGGAGGACCCGGACTCACGCGGAGGACCCGGACTCACGCGGAGGACCCGGACTCACGCGGAGGACCCGGACTCACGCGGAGGACCCGGACTCACGCGGAGGACCCGGACTCACGCGGAGGACCCGGACTCACGCGGAGGACCCGGACTCACGCGGAGGACCCGGACTCACGCGGAGGACCCGGACTCACGCGGAGGACCCGGACTCACGCGGAGGACCCGGACTCACGCGGAGGACCCGGACTCACGCGGAGGACCCGGACTCACGCGGAGGACCCGGACTCACGCGGAGGACCCGGACTCACGCGGAGGACCCGGACTCACGCGGAGGACCCGGACTCACGCGGAGGACCCGGACTCACGCGGAGGACCCGGACTCACGCGGAGGACCCGGACTCACGCGGAGGACCCGGACTCACGCGGAGGACCCGGACTCACGCGGAGGACCCGGACTCACGCGGAGGACCCGGACTCACGCGGAGGACCCGGACTCACGCGGAGGACCCGGACTCACGCGGAGGACCCGGACTCACGCGGAGGACCCGGACTCACGCGGAGGACCCGGACTCACGCGGAGGACCCGGACTCACGCGGAGGACCCGGACTCACGCGGAGGACCCGGACTCACGCGGAGGACCCGGACTCACGCGGAGGACCCGGACTCACGCGGAGGACCCGGACTCACGCGGAGGACCCGGACTCACGCGGAGGACCCGGACTCACGCGGAGGACCCGGACTCACGCGGAGGACCCGGACTCACGCGGAGGACCCGGACTCACGCGGAGGACCCGGACTCACGCGGAGGACCCGGACTCACGCGGAGGACCCGGACTCACGCGGAGGACCCGGACTCACGCGGAGGACCCGGACTCACGCGGAGGACCCGGACTCACGCGGAGGACCCGGACTCACGCGGAGGACCCGGACTCACGCGGAGGACCCGGACTCACGCGGAGGACCCGGACTCACGCGGAGGACCCGGACTCACGCGGAGGACCCGGACTCACGCGGAGGACCCGGACTCACGCGGAGGACCCGGACTCACGCGGAGGACCCGGACTCACGCGGAGGACCCGGACTCACGCGGAGGACCCGGACTCACGCGGAGGACCCGGACTCACGCGGAGGACCCGGACTCACGCGGAGGACCCGGACTCACGCGGAGGACCCGGACTCACGCGGAGGACCCGGACTCACACAGGGGACACGGACTCACACAGGGGACACGGACTCACACAGAGGACCTGGACTCACGTGGAGCGGCGCTTTTACAGTGGTTCTCAACCTTCTGGCCCTTTAAATACAGTTCCTCATGTTGTGACCCAACCATAAAATTATTTTCGTTGCTACTTCATAACTGTAATGCTGCTACTGTTATGAATTGTCATGTAAATATCTGATATGCAGGGTGGTCTTAGGCGACCCCTGTGAAAGGGTCGTTCGACCGCCAAAGGGGTCGCGACCCACAGGTTGAGAACCGCTGCTTTAGAATGTCCTCCAGGGGGAAGTGTGCAGAGTCTCATTCATTTGTCTCCGGTTCCATTTTTAAAACTTAAATTGAGCCCCAGCCGGTTTGGCTCAGTGGATAGAGCGTCGGCCTGGGGACTGAAGGGTCCCAGATTTGATTCCGGTCAAGGGCATGTACCTTGGTTGCAGGCACATCCCCAGTAGGGGGTGTGCAGGAGGCAGCTGATTGATGCTTCTCTCTCATTGATGTTTCTAACTCTCTAACCCTCTTCTCCATCTCCCTTCCTCTATGTAAAAAATCAATAAAATATTTAATTTTAAAAACCTTAAATTGAGCTTTGGTCGCCAATGTGACTTCGGGCTGTCTGCGCTCTGCGCCCCTGAGATCCCGGAACAGGGTGGAGCAGGAAGAGGGGTACCGCCCACTGAGGGGTACCGGCTCCAGCCTCCCTGCAGCACCTCCCTTCCCGCTGCCAGCGCCCCCTCCAGACCCCACAGCCCAGGCCTCTCGCATGGCAAACTCCCCAGGGCCCCGCCTGCGGGCTGACTGAGCGCACCCAGGCCTCCTGCGCCTGGGCCCAGAGCTCCTTCCACGTCGGCCCGAGGCCTAAGCTCCCTGCTCAGGCCGGAGCGGCCCCGTGCAATCCCCGAGAGCGGGGCAGGCGGGCAGGGGCAGGGCGGTTCAGAGACGCAATGAAGGTTCCCGTCAGCTGACCCAAGTACATTGAAAAGGAGAGGACATGGGGGAGGGGGCCGCTCTCAGAGGGTCATCAGGTCAGAGAGAGAAGTCCCATGTCCCACGGGCATCGGGCAGCAGCAGGCAGATGGAGGGAGGCTCGGGGCTTAGCCACCAGGACTGAGCCCCACAGCCCATGCTCTGGGCACGCTCACTCCTGCGGGGAACCGCGCCCTCCGCCAGCTCGCTTCCTGGTGACCACCTCTCGGGAACGTCAGCCCGGCCCTGCATGAGGCAGTGACTGCACACAGA